TTCAACCTCATACCTCATACCCCTGTACTAGTAGGAACAAGCTTGTTTTATGTATCCTTCTGTAAATAAAAGAACAAGAGATCGTGAAATTTTAGTGATTTTAGTAAGTTACTGTGACAACTTTTCCCATTTAGGAACAAACCAGTTTCATTATTAAAGAATGTAAACAAATTTTAAATGTACAAAAGTTTTAAAAAGGCACATAAAATTGTGGTAGCCAACCCGGTAATTTGCCATTTACAACAAAAAAAAAGAAGTTTCATTCAGCTATATTGTAAATATAATGTTTCACATGATCGTCGGTCGAGGCAAGCTGGAAAATAATAAACGGGGGGTATGGAATAAGGAGTGGGGGTTCAGAAGGAGTTTTACGGCACTTGCAACACAATAAGGTCATAAAAGTGCTGAAGATTAGATGTGTTACAAGTGAATAACTAACACAAAAAAGATGGAGGGTAGATAGAGACGCTAGATTTTTTATAGGAGAGAAGAAGCATACCACACCAGAGCACCCGTCAATCACCCACTGGGGTAAAGAGAGGGGGTGGAGATTGAGCACAAAAAAAGGAAAATTAATAAGACGGGGAGGGGGGGGGGGGGGGGCTTATTCGATGCCTTAGAGTGGTTATACCTTAGAGTAGTTAGAATGAAGCATCAGTTTTTACCTTACTGGTCACTGAAAATTCCCATGGAAGCCTTAAAGCTACCATTTTGACATAGTTAGACCGATTTCGGCTTAATTTGATTGTGACCTCTTTTGTAAGATTGTTTTGGCAAGAATTTTAGGACGCTCGCAATTGCGTAATAAGGTCATATGAGCGCGCGGGACGCGAGTTAGACTTCTAGTTGATTTCACAATGTGTATTTTAAATTTTCAGTTTTGGTAGGAATTAACTTTGAATTTAGCCCGGGTGGCTGCTGAAGCCTACTCTTATCGATTTTAGTACCACCAAGGGACCTGTAACATGCGCAACTTGGAACACGGGACCTCCTAGTATTTATATTTGTCGAGACAACAACAAACTGATAACAACAAATAGAAACTGATAACAAGTGATAACAACAAATAACAACTGAAAACAACAAAATAACGACAATTGTAAACACAAAGTCCTAATTTAGTTGCATTTACTTGGTTCTTAAGGAAGTCTGACATCGGTATTTAACTTAAAGAATGAAATTCGTGCAAAAGGAGAGATTCTGCGCCCCTCCAATTTCACATATTTAACTCCAGAAGTGGTGGCCTACGTGTTGATTCGCCTCGTGCTTCGTGACTCCCCTCCCTTCCAGGCGTGGGACATGGGCTCGTCCTCCGCTCCTCTTGACCAAAGATAGTACAAGACAAGATGGGCCACTTCTCTCTTTGAGCCAATTAAAAAAGTGTCCTCAAAATTTGGTGGCGCCCTCTTCACAAAAGCGCACTCTTTGCGAACAGAGTTACCCTACTTGAGTTTTAAAAAATCAAAGTGAAGCTAGCAAGTTTTGGGACAAATTTCGGAAGAACGCTTTTTAAAAATGATTACGCTGACAAAAAACCTCTTCCGGAGGAAAAGGAGATGGTTTTCTTCGTTTAATTTGACTTTAGAATGAAGGGCGAGAGGTCATTAAAATTTTAAAAAACCTAAAACTCCGCACTGAACATACCCGAACTGCTGATGAACAGCAGTCGATCTGCGCACGCAAGGAGGTGCTATTCCTATTCTTCTTCTGGAAAAACGAAAGAGAGCTTCAAAACAGACTGCAGCGCCATCTGAAGCAAAGAGCATACTTCCTGCGGACACTTTTTAGGCTGAGTGGCCCATCTTGTCTTGTACTATCTTTGTCTTGACAAAGTATCGTCGTCGAAGGCCGAAGGGCTCCCTCGATACCACAGCACAGAGGCGGGGAGCCGCAGACATAGGAAGAAAGAATGTCGATGTCCGATAAGACGGGTTATTGTTCTTGTTGTTGATTCTTCGTACGAAAGTGGAACATCGGCAGGGATCTCCCTTTTCAAAAATGTATTTTTGTTCTCCAAGTCGTGTTTCCAGAAAGTTGAGTCAGGAGGAAACCACGGTTCTTCTTTACCATCCACATGCTACTTTTTTGTCTACTTTGCATTCTGTGATCACTGACAAGATCGTTGTTGAGTTGATAAAAAAGAAAAATCTTCTTTGCGAAATTGTCATGCTTTCTTTTGCGCTGACTTTTCAGAAAAGTTATTTAACACCGTTCTTTACTTTCACATTTTGGACAAGAAGCCAAAGCTTATAAAGTCGAGATAACAACAATAACAACTGATAACAATAAATAAGAACTAATAGCAACAAATGACAACTGATAACAATAAAAATAACGACAAATATCAACACAAACGTGGTCCTAAGTTAGTTTTCTCCCCGATAAATTGCTACTTTCGATTTTAATGTAAACGAAAAATGGGACGCAACTCCCCTGTCATCGCTAAAGAATAGTCTACTTTAGTCAAAGATAGTGAATAACAAGATGGGCCACTCAGCCAAAAAAGTGTCCGCAGGAAGTATGCTCTTTGCTTCAGATGGCGCTGCAGTCTGTTTTGAAGCTCTCTTTCGTTATTCCAGAAGAAGAATAGGAATAGCACCTCCTTGCGTGCGCAGATCGACTGCTGTTCATCAGCAGTTCGGGTACTTTCAGTGCGGAGTTTTAGTTGTTTTTAAAAATTTTAATGACCTCTCGCCTTTCATTCTAAAGTCAAATTAAACGAAGAAAACCATCATCCTTTCCTCCGGAAGAGGTTTTTTGTCAGCGTAACCATTTTAAAATAGCGTTCTTCCGAAATTTATCCCAAAACTTGCTAGTTTCACTTCGATTTTTTAAAACTCAAGTAGGGTAACTCTGTTCGCAAAGAGTGC